CTGTAGTTTAAAACCATTGCTCCTTGTCCTAGTGTCTGGAGCCGTGGAAAACAAACCTGTCCCTTCCTCGACATGACATCCCTTCAAATATTTAAACATGGCTATTATGTCCTCTCTTAACCTTCTTTTTGTAAGGCTAAACATTCCCAACTCCCTAAGCTGCTCGCTAAGACATGGCTTCCAGACCTTTGACCATCTTGGTCGCCCTCCTCTGGACACGTTCCAGGTGGTCAACATCCTTCTTGAATTGAGGTGCCCAGAAGTGGACAGAATACTCCAGGTGAGGTCTGACCAAAGCAGAATAGAATGGTACTACCCCTTCCCTTGATCTGGACACTATACTCCTATTGATGCAACCAAGAATCGCATTGGCTTTCTTGGCAGCTGACTCATGTTCTGTTTGTGGTCTACCAAGACTCCTAGATCCCTTTCACAGGTCCTGTTGTCTAGCCAGGTGTCTTCCATCCTATATCTGTGCAGTTCATTTTTTTCTGCCTCGTAGGACCTTACATTTCTCCCTGTTGAAATTCATTTTGTTAGTTTTGGCCCAGGACTCTAATCTGTCAAGGTCATTTTGAATTTTAATTTTGTCCTCTGGGGAATTAGCAACCACTGCCAATTTGGTATCATCTGCAGATATAATCAGCATGCTCTCTATTCCTTCATCCAAGTCATTGATAAAGATATTGAAAAACACGGGACCCAGAACAGAACCCTGGGACACCCCACTAGTCACCTCTTTCCAGGACGAAAGGGAACAGTTTGTGATCACCCTTTGGGTTCGGTCGGTCAACCAATTACAAATCTACCTAACAGTAGCACTATCGATCCCACATTCTACTAGCTTCTCAAGGTTAAACATGCCCACTAACAGTAGCCCTTCTCAGATATTTGAAGGGCTGTCATGCGGATGATGGAGCATGCATGTTTTCTGTAGGACCTGACCCAATGGGCTCACATTAGGGAAAGGACATTTCACTTCTACTGTTAGGAAGAACTTTTTGACAGTGATAGCTGGCAAGGACTGCCCCTCAGCTGGTGATGGACTCCTTCACTGGAGATTTGTAAACAGAGGTTCAGTGGATGCTTGTCAGGGATGTGTTAGCAGTAGGTTGAGTTGGGCTCAGTGATTGTTGGGGTCCCTTACAGCTCTACAAGTCCATAAATATAAGGGTAGGCAAACAAACAAATATACAAGGCTTTGCAGCAGGCCCACTATTGAAAGGGCAGGTCAGAAATACGAGGGGACAGGCTGTGAAGTATTCCCTAGCCTCCTGCCTGCCCTTGTGTCCTGTCAAGAAAACCCGAGCTTCCTCTAGCTCCAGGAGTTAATGAGGTGAAACAACAGGCCTCTGGTTAAAACACCTCAAACATTTCACATGGCGATAGCTGTCCTCTCGTCTCTCTTTTTTTGGTGCAGATGTTATCCCCATTGTCCAGAGGCCTGTTCCACAGAGCCATCTCAGAGAGCGGAGTGGTCCTTCTGCTCTCACTCTTCACCAAGAACCCAGAGGCCATCGTTCAAGTAAGTCCGGGATGATCCTCTGAATGAACACGGTGGTCCTGCAATTGCACACTTTTAAAGAGACACACTGCAAATAGTAGAGTTGCATTAAGGGAAAAGATTTAAGAGCTGAAAGTCAGGAACTAAGTGTTGAAATCTCATTGCACTTGGTGTGGAGTAAATTTGCAGCTGCAGAAATTCCCAGAGAGTTACAGCCAGGTAGTCCATGTGTTCAATTGTGCAACTAATTGTGCAGCTCACCATGCATTTCACTGCACAACTGACTGTGCAACTGTGCTGGTGGAACTGCTTCCTGGACAGCACTTCTGCTTCTGGTAAATTTTGCAAGGATTTACATAATTTCATGTTACACAGGCCTGCCGCTGCGATGGGATTTCACCCAATACCAGTTAAATCAGGTAAGATTCCAGTGATACAGGGGAGGCTAGAAAGAGGTCTCTATGCTGCATTTGTTGTTCCTCCAGCCAAGGAAAGAGCAGGAAAACAAAGCCACATCTCTGCGCCTGACATGACGTTGATGGCAGCAGGGTCTTGGCAGCAGGATGCAGCCAGCCCAGTGCCATCTTTTTACAATGTCTGACGGGCAGTCCTGCTGAATCAGTTGCTGAATAGCGAGTCGACCCTTACATCAAGCCCACCAGTTTAATGTGTCTTGCCTGGGGACACCAAGTGGATTCTGGCTGCCACCCACTGGCCCTGTTTGTTAATACTCAAGTGTAGGGGAAATTTCCTGTCTGCAGATTGCCCTCAGATGGCAGATCTGCAGAGATGCCCATCATCCTAATGCAAAGCTGCTGCTCTAAGCTCAAATTTCACTCGGAGGCCATGGCATCTCATTTTTTCTCTACTGTATTTCTCTTTTTTTTAACACTCGAAGAGAGTGTCAAATATCTCCGGCTGTGAGGTCAGTGGCGCTGCTGCCTTGGTGTCTTGCTTAAGAAGCAAAACCGAAGAAGAGCTACACGCCCTGAACACCCAAGTGACGTTGGTAAGTAGCAGCTCCTGAGCTGGGGTCCTGAACACCCGCGGGGTCAGCAGCCATCATCATCATGTGGGGCTAGCCCACTCTGGAACGTGCTGCATCATCATGTCCCCCCCCACCGCATCAGAGTGGTGCCCCATGAAATCCTTCCAGGTCGAACGGAGGAGAGCATGGGGAGGGTAAGCAGCCTGTCCTTTGACTCTCTTCTTCTTTCCCATCCGAGAGTCTTCTCCTGCCCGTTTATTAAAGAAATTCATCCATGGGCGGCATATTCCTGCCTTGAGCAGGGGGTTGGGTTTGAATGGCCTTGTGGGCCCCTTCCAGCATCACTTTTCTACGATTAACTGTGATATTCCACAAGGCCCAGGCCAGATTTCTGCCATTTTGGAGAGGTTCCCCCAAAGGGGAGCAATCCTTCAGGACAGGGAGCAGGCCCTCGATTCTGCAGCCGGACTGCTGCGCTGGAGCTGCTCCAGAGAGGCCTGCCAAGCGGCAGCCGTCGGCAAAGGCAGAGCGCAAATGTCCTTGAATGCCTTCGGATGAACTGTGATATTCCACAAGGCCCAGGCCAGATTTCTGCCATTTTGGAGAGGTTCCCCCAAAGGGGAGCAATCCTTCAGGACAGGGAGCAGGCCCTCGATTCTGCAGCCGGACTGCTGCGCTGGAGCTGCTCCAGAGAGGCCTGCCAAGCGGCAGCCGTCGGCAAAGGCAGAGCGCAAATGTCCTTGAATGCCTTCGGATGCAGGGAAGGGGGAGAGAGACTAATTGATGAGGATGATGATGATGATGATGATGTGCCATCAAGTTGATTCTGATTTCAGGCTTTTCTTTCAAGGGTTTTCTAAGAATATAGCGCTCAGAAGTCATTTATTCTTCCTCCCTTCTTCTGGAGTCACCCTGGCACTGTGCAGCTTGCCCAAGGCTACCCAGATTGGCTCTTCTCCTGGGAGGCCTGATATGAGGGGGAGGGAATCAAACTCCTGGCCCCTGACTCCACAGCCATTTGGATAAACAGTCCTTGGCTGGGTTTGAAATGCATGGACACTTCCAGCTTTTTCAAATATGTAAATGCAAAAATTTCTCATGGTTTATTTTAAGGAGTAAACACAACTTAAAAGAATGTTCTTGTTGTTGTTGTTAACACCACCACCCACTCCTAGGAAATTGGAATTGTTCCTGCGGTCATTGATGGAGAATTCATTCTGAAGGACCCAGAGGAGCTACTGGCTAAAATGGAGCTCAACCCAGTTCCATATCTAAATGGTGTGAATAACCACGAGTATGGATGGGCGATTTCTCAAGTAAGAGTTTGGCAATTTAATGTCATATTTGCAGCTCCTTGCACTATCCTAATATGCAACTGCAACATGAAAAAGAACAGAGTGAGGCATTTCTAGAACAGGTCATTGAGGAGCCAGCCCGTGAGGATTTAGAGAAGAGGCTGATGATTGCTAGGAGCCAGTGCGGGGGGGGGGGGAGGGGGGGTTTGCTCATGCCTGACTCACCTTACCTCCTTCTCTGCTAGAGTGGCCAGCTTGGTAGGCAAGGGGAATGCCTTGGCTATGGTGAGCCCTGGGCCCAGCAAGGTTCTCACAGAGCTTTTCTCCCATCCCTTATCCTTGTGGCCAAGCTGGTAAAATATGGTCTACACCAGTGGTGGCAAACCTTTTTGAGCCTGAGTGCCCAAACTGAAAAACAAAACAACAAACAAACAAAAAATCCCCCCGGCGGGTGGAGGTGGACTTGGTGGTGGAAGGGGTGGGGGGAATCCCAGGCACGGAGGGAGTTCCAGAGTCTGGGAGCAGCCAGAGAAGGGCCTTCTCTCCCATGTCCCCACCAACTGTGAGGATGGCAGGACTGAGAGAAAGGCC